AGGCTGAGTCTCTGGGCCCAATGCAATAGCCTAGTGGCTAAAGTCCTTGCCTTGCACATGCCTGGATCCCAAATGGGCTCCTGTTCATGTCTCAGCTGCTCCACTTCCCATTTAGCTCCCTGCCTGTGGCCTGGGAAAGCAGTTGAGGATGGCCCAAAGCCTTGGGATCCTGCACCCCCATGGGTGCCTGGAAGAAGCTCCTGGCTCTGGCTTCGGAACGGCTCAACTTCAGCCACTGCGGCTGTTTGGGGAGTGAACCATGGATGGAGGAATCTTTGTCTTTCCTCCTCTCTGTATATCTGCCCTTCCAATAAAAATAAAATATATCTTAAAAAACAAAACAACAACAAAAAGAGTCCCTGCAGGAACCTAAAAGGCCCTGCATCCACTGGCCTTCTGCCACTATCCTAACCTCTTCCCCTACCAGCGTCCCTTCCCTTCCTTTCTTAGTGTCCTTCAGATGCACTGAGCACACTGCCCATCTGGCCCCTCTGCCCTGAAATCTCTGCTCCCAGATCCCCATGTGGATCGCTCCCTCTTCTCCTAAGCCCTTTACTTAAACCTCACTTACTCAATGGAGCCTTCTTAGGTACCCCTACCCTGGGCATCCCACAGTCCCCTTGCAGGCACCTTTGAGCAGCTGACATTCCTAGGGCAGTGTCCATCCTTCCCACTAAAATGGAAGCTTCTCCAGGACCAAAAGTCTTGACTGTTTTGCTCTCTCCTGCATCCTCAGTAGGGCAGGTGTGCTGGGGAGATGTTCCAAATGAGCTTGAGTTCCCACTGCTCCAGCAGCCTCCAGCCTGGCCTTTGTGCGTGTGGGCTGCTTGGGAAGTTGCTGCTGAGGGTGGGATGGCCAGGTAGAGCAAAGGGCAGGGCAGGGTGGGGGTGGGGCTATCTACAAGGCAAGGATGTGTGCTGGCATCTGCTAGGGAGGTATGGAAGAGACCTCATCATAGGGGTCTAAGCGGGGACGCTTAAATAAGAAAGTGTGGCATGCAGCTGGGCAGGTGATTGCCCCAGGCCTGCCCAAGAGAAGGTGGGCTAGACTTGCAGAATAAGGAGCTGGACTGTGGGCACAGAAATCAAGAATACCTGATCCATCCCCTGCCCTGCCTTAGCCCCAGAGGGAACAGGTGTAGATTCACTGACCACCCTCCTTCTTCTAAGGTCACCCTCCAAGGTCATCAGGGTAGAGGCTGCCAAGCCCTCCTTCCCACCCTCCCTTCTCTTCCACTGCCCCACCCAGCTCTCCTAATCCAGCCTGCGAGCATCCTGGGTTCCATCCGGCTCCCATCCCAGGAGTGTGAGAGTACCAGCCTTTCCTTGGCTGCATGCTTGTGTCTTTATCCCTCAAATTGCCTTAAGTTATCTGTTAACAGCTGTGGTCAAATCATTAATCCTTTCCACCCCAGAAGCTGCCAGGCAGAGGGAAGGCTGAGGTGCTGAGCTGGTCTATAGGAAGCTGGCAATCAGGGACCTCCCTGATTCCAAGCCAGCTTCTTTCCCCACCTCCTCTTTGGGGGCAGGATCTAGCCTCCTTATGCAGTTTCCCCACTCAGCCGCCAGTGGCGCCTGCTGCCTGGCCAGGCTTGCCCCTTGTGGCATGGTCTCTGCCCATCATGGATGCTGGCTGTTTCTAGCGGACAGTGTGCAGCCTGCTGTGCTTCCAGCTGGCGACAGGGAAAGTGACTCCGGCTGGGTTTGGGCAGGTCCTTCTCTTTTTAGGAATCACTCTGAGAAATGGCTTTATCGACTGATGCTGGAATGGCTGTTGCCACGGCAGCAGAGCACTCCCACTGCAGTGGAGGATGGTGGGAAATTCAGGGGATGTGAAAAGAATCCGAAAAGAGCCAAATAGAGGTGGCAGTAGGGAGTGTCAGAAAGTTCTGGGATACCAGGGTAACTATATAAAGGGATTACCACTTGGCCATGGCAAGACCCTCAAAAGCCAGGGTGGGAAATTTGGAATTGGGCCATTTGGATATCTGAAATAGCATACACAGGCCAATGCTGTTTATCAGCTTAGAAATGGGCCCCACCTTGGCAGGGCCAGACCCAGTGATTTGGAGGGCCTCCTGTGTTCCCCACCTCTGTTGTCAAGAGTGACCGTGGGAGGCCAGCAGTTCCTGGGACGGGTGAGGATGACTGGCACTCCAGGAACTCAGCACTGAAGTTACCCATAGGGTGCTCATGGAGAGTGTTTTCTGTCTCATTAATTGGTAGGTGGCTTGTCACACTGGACGGAGCTCAGGGTGCTAGGTCCAGATAGCAGTGACCAAGCCATCCTCTCCTCTCTGTTTAAAAGTTGCAGAATTTCAGGGGCTATTTACTGAAGGAATGGAAAGGACTTGGGATTTGCGGAATATGATATCCTGTGAGAGGGAGTACAGAGGAACAAGGAGGATTATAGGGGGTGATAAGGGCCAACTGAAATCGAGGATAAGGTCCTGGGACATCTTGTGACAACAAACTGTGTTGGATGGAGCACCAAATGAGCAGTGTCTTGTAGCACCTGCGAAACACTGAATGGCGCTAGCTCCAGATGTGGGTTTTTGGGAGGAGGAGCTGAACTAAAGCAGGGGAAGGGACAGGAAGCTTTGCCAGCAGCCTGTCCTCATGGTGCCGTGGGTCACAGGACACTGTATGTTTTTCCAGCCAGGATAGCAGTCACTGATTTGTCTTTGTGAAGGCCAGATTTATTTTCAGGAAGTGAATGTACAGAACCAAGCAGGAACTGTGATAGCCTGGTATCAGGCAGGTCTTATGTTGCTGATTTTAGGAAAGGTTGAGGCTCCCATGCAGTTGAACCAGGGTGTCTTGCGTAGATTAGAAAAGGACCCATGAGAAAGGGTGAGGGTTCTAGGAGTGCTGCCTTGTGCCTTCATCACAGTGGGTGGCGAGAAGACAGGTGTGGAGGGTGGGGCTGCGTCCCTTGCCTGAGTTATGATGGTGTCTGGGCAGAAGCAGGGATCCCTCCTCTGTGCAAGAGTCCCACCAGCGGCCTCTGTGTTGGGTGCTCTTCATCCTAGCCAAGCTCTGGCTGCCATCCCTTGAGCTAGTTCCAGTCTACAAGCACAAGCCTTAGTTGCGCCCTGGTTTTGCTATGTGTTGGACACCTGCCTCCTGGGCCTGTATGGTGAATCCTTGCACTGGCTGTCCTCTTGTCATCTCTGGTGTTAGAACACACACACACCTGTGATGAATGTGTCACTGTTTGTGGTGTTGCTTTGCAGTTACTAGGTGACTTGCATCGTTTGTCCATATTCTTTGCCAACGAGTTCCTTGGAGGTAGCATCTCCATGTTTCCTCGTGTCCAGAGTTCTAGCCAGCATGCACCCTTCTTAGCACTACCCCTCTAGTTGTAAAACTGTCCTCAGGCCTGTGGTGGGAGAGTCACAGCAAAACCCTTTCACTCCTGGTGGGCCATGGTGCTGGGAGAGTGGTTGACACCTCAGACTCAGACCCTGGATTCTCTGGGTTCAGGGTGAAGGAGGGGAGGGAGTTAGAGAGATGGAGGCTCGGGGTTGGTGTGGGGTCAGGGGATAAGGCACAGGTTAGCACATTCTGACAGAGGGCTTTATGTGTGTGGCAGGCTTGGCTTTTGGAGAATTCCCTTCCCCTCTCTCTTGAGGGCCCTTTGCTTAGGCACACCTGGCCTGACCGTGGCAATGGCGTGCAGCCCTCTGCTGAGGGACAGCCGTGGGCCAATGACCGCCTCCCGCAGCACTCCCCACCTCCACCTCCCTGGACCCCAGGCCATAGAAGCAGAATTTGGGGACCTTGTGTTTAAATTGTTCTGAAGGCCTGCTTTAGTTCTGGCAGGCAGGGTTCAGTGCTAAGTCTCTGGCGTCCCTAGGGTGGACCCTGAGGCCCATGACCTCTGACTGTGGCTCTGTCACCTCACTGAGGGAGGCAGAGGCAGAAGCTCCTGCAATGACTTTGACAAGGTCACCCTGGTGGTGGGACCAGGAGTTCTGTCTCCTGATCCCAAGCAAGGGCCTTCACTTCAGTGTCCTCAGTCCCAGACCCAGCCATCTCTGCCCCCTCCTCTCTCTAAACCTTCCTAGTAGCCCCACCCTGCATCCCCTGCCTCCTGTCTGAGGAGGGCCACCTGGTGCCGCAGAAATTGAAGTAATGGAGTGTAGAAGTTTCCTGGGGGAAAACCCCATGATGGTTTGGGGTGGGGGGGGTGGAAATATAGCAACCTGGATATCCTCCCCCATCTCCTTTCTAATCTCTCCCAGGCCCCCCGGGCCCACCATCCCTCCTACATCCGGGACCGCCCTCTCTCAGTCCCTTTTACCTGTACCGGTCTCCTTTCTCTGAGACCATCTGGGGCCACCAGTGCCCTCTGCGAACCTGCCCCATCTGCTGGACAGCTTGGAGAAGACGACGGGTTGGACCCCTTTTCTGCCCCTGCCTCCCCACCATCCGCCCCAGGAGCTGGTCTCGCAGATACCTCCCCCTCCCGAGCCAGAAATAGATGCAGCTTTCTCTCCCCCACCTCCCAGCGTTCGCGCACACTCCTCCCCGCCTCTCGTTCGCTCCCGCCTTCCCCCTCCCCGCCTGCCTCGGCTCGGAGCTGCAGCCTGCAGCCTCCGCCCGAGCTGGCAGCCAGGGCGCTGCCCACTCCGCGGGCTGAAGTGCTGGCGGGGGCCGGGATCCGGGAGCCCTGCATCTTCGGGTTTCCACGGGGCTATAGGGCTTGCGAGCAGCCTTTGACTGATTGCTACATTTTAATTTGTATTTTCCCCGCCCCGCCCCTTTTCCTCCGACCCCGCCCCATTACTCTGCCACTTCCTCGCTCTTTCCTTTTTCCCCGGCTTCCTTCTTCCCGTCTCTTTCCCTTGCCTCTTCGCCTCGCCTCCCCCCTCCTCCCGGGCTCTTTCTCTCTGCTGCTCACCCCTTCTTCCCCGGTTTCTTCCGTCCTTTCTCTCCCCCGCCATCCCCCATCCCACCCCGCCCCGCGCTCCCGCCCCCTCCCCCGGTGCCTGCAGACGCGAGGATCGTCCATGCGCTCCTCGCGGGCAGAATGCTGGGCAGCGGCGTCAAGAGCGCGCAGCCCGAGGTGGAGCTGAGCAGCGGCAGCGGCGGCGACGAGGGTGCGGACGAGGCGCGGGGCGCTGGCAGGAAGGCGGCCACGGGAGACGGCAGAGGCATGCTGCCCAAGCGCGCCAAGGCGCCCGGAGGCGGCGGCGGCATGGCCAAGGCGAGCGCGGCCGAGCTGAAGGTCTTCAAGTCCGGCAGTGTGGACAGCCGTGTCCCCGGCGGGCCGCCGGCCTCCAACCTGCGAAAGCAGAAGTCGCTCACCAACCTCTCCTTCCTCACCGACTCCGAGAAGAAGCTGCAGCTCTGTGAACCTGAATGGAGCGACGACATGGCCAAGGCACCCAAGGGCTTGGGCAAGCTGGGCTCCAAGGGCCGCGACGGCCCGCTGATGTCCAAGACGCTGTCCAAGTCAGAACACTCGCTCTTCCAGGCCAAGGGCACCCCAGCGGGCGGCACCAAGACCCCGTTGGCTCCTCTGGCGCCCAGCCTGGGAAAGCCAAGCCGGATTCCTCGTGGACCCTATGCCGAGGTCAAGCCGCTCAGCAAGGCGCCGGAGGCGGCTGTGAGCGATGATGGAAAGTCGGACGACGAGCTGCTGTCCAGCAAGGCCAAGGCGCAGAAGAGCTCCGGATCCGTGCCCTCTGCCAAGGGCCAGGAGGAGCGTGCCTTCCTCAAGGTGGACCCCGAGCTCGTGGTGACGGTGCTGGGCGACCTGGAGCAGTTGCTCTTCAGCCAGATGCTGGGTGAGTCCTGCCACCCCGCCCCGCCCTGCCCCTTGCTTTTTCTTGGGCTGGCTGCCGACGGGAGAAGGTGCAGGGAAGCTCTGCCCGCCCTCTGCGTGAGGCCCTGCAGAACGCGGGTCGGGGTCGTTGCGGCCAGGTTTGTAGAGCTGACCCCTCCACAGGCGTCTGCCTGGCCTAACTGCATCCCAGAGAGGTTGCCCTGGCTGGCGCCAAGGCTCTACCCTAGGCTCCTGGAAGGCAGCAGGTCCTCAGACAGAGTCCGCAAGTCTCCAAATTTTAATTTTAGCCCAGAATGCTAATGTGGTCAGATGTAGATATGGGCCACTGGAGCCCTCCGTGCTAGTGTGCTCCGCGCTTGCATGGGAGCGGCCGGCACCGCCAGGGTAGTGTCCGCTGAGAGCCAGAACGGAGAGAACAGATGTGAGCAGAGCAGATGTGCGGCTGGCGGGCCCTGCAGCAGCGCTGAGGCCCCACTTCCTCTGCGGATCCCGGGGGGCAGCGCTAGGCGGATTTCCCGGGTGTGGGGGTTCTGGCGGAGGAGCCGCGTCTGGGGCCCGAGGCGGGCGGGCGGCCAGTCGCGCGCATCTGGATGCATGTCCTCCTCCACCTCAGCACCTTACCCCCCTCTTCCCCTAGGATTTTTAGGGCGTGTGGCGAGGTCCATGCCAGGAAACCTTTGCCCCTGGGCTGTTGGAAGTGAGCAGGCGGGAAGGGAGGGACAAAGCTTGCTGGGGTGGAGGAAGCGCCGAGAGAGCCGCTCCATTGTTCTCCAGGCCTGACGGGTGCGTGCAGTAAGCCGGGAGCGGGCTGACTTTCCGCAGAAAGCCTCAGCGCCGGAGAGGCCTGGAACCAAAATGTACCCCCCTCACCCCCCAGCCGCTGGGCTGAGCTGGGCCGCGGCAGCTCGGTAGTGAGCCCACGGCTGCATGGACTTGTTGCGGCGGCTAGGCTGGCCTGGGCAGGGCTATACTGTCCTCTGGCGACGGCGCCCTGGGACCCTAGCCTTGCCGGTACCCGGCAGGCTGGGGAGGGGCGTGTCGGTCCGCGTGTGAAGGGGCGGGGCGGAGCGGGACTGCGGGCTCCAGCACCCGGGCGGGTGGGCACAGCCGTGAGAGCTGGCCCTGACGCTCTGGAAAGGCAAAACTGAATGGAAGAGGTTGGCGCGGCCTGCTGCAGCCTTTCCAGGGTGGGCGGGAACGAGGGCCCCCTGAGCCAGAGGCAGAAGTCAGACCTCTGCGACCAGACTGGAGCAGCGTGTAAGAACAGCAGTCGGGGAGCCTGGCGCCCCGCTTATCCTGCAGCCTGAGAGCTGAAGCCCAGTAGGGCGAGTGGGGGTGGGGCAGTGAGCACTGAGACTGGCCTGGGGCCGCCCCACTCCTAGATACCCGCTGCTGGGCTTCAGGCTAATGGGGTGAGACAGGCAGCAAGGGGGTGGGGGGAGGGCAGGGAATAAATTATGCCAGACACGAAGGAAGACTGTAGCGGAAAGGAGATGAAAGGGACTGGGGAGGTGGTGGTAGATTTGGGACCAGGGACCAGGCTTAGGGCAGAAGGGGAATGGGGAGGACAGGAGTGGGTCTTTAAGAACAGGGCTGCACCTCTTTGGGGGTGATACAGCTGCCCCTGGCCTGGGGGCCCCCAGGAGGTGCTGCACAAGAGGTGTCCTGTGGTGAGTACCACAGAAACCCTGACCAGTAGGGAGCTGGCTGGGAAGGGCCAGGGAAAAGGCAGAGTGCTGGTCCTGTTACCTGCCCAGCAGTAGTCACTGGCAGAGCACACTTGGACCAGTGCCACTCCGCACCGGTGGAAGGAGGTGGTGCCTTCTCTTTCCAGGCTTGGGGGTTTGGGTTCCTGCCACCCTTGTGGGAGATTTGGGTTGAGTTCCTGGCTCTGGCTTCAGCCTGGCCTGGCCCTGGCTTTTGCAGACATCTGGGGAGTGAACCTGCGCTTGGGAGTGTTCTCTTTCTCTCATAAAAACAGAAAGGTTACCAAGGGCCTGAAGTCCTCTGTTAGTTGATGACAGAAGTCACAGCTTTTCCAAGGAGACCTGATGGGGAAGGCCAAGTCAGCAGGTGAAGGGCCTGACCGATGTGTCTGCTGGACACAGGCTGGCAGAGCTGTCCCCTTGTCCCCTCCAAAGGGCTGGGATTGCTCGCTGGTGGAAGAGGGTGGACAGCCTGCTAGACGTGCTGAGCTGTCTGCAGCAGAGAGGACCCCAAGGCAGGAGGTGGGAAGGAGATAGGGCCAGGCCTTGGGAGGGCAGTGCTTTGCATCCAGGTGGTTTCAGGGGAGCTGGTCATCTCCCAGCAAGAGGTGAAGGTGGAGGCTGAGGAGGTTAGGGGTCTGGACAGGCCCTCAGGAGACAGCAATGTGGTGGCGGGGAGAGGGTGGCTAGTTTGCTGTCACAGCATGGGAGCTAAAGATACTGGGCATTTGTCCCTGTCTGTGGGCTTACTGTGGGCCTACACATACTCCTTAATACCGTTTCAGGCCAGGGGAGCTGCCAAGACCTACATTCCAAGGTTTTGGGGGTGGGGAGCCCAGACCCAAACAGGAACCTGCCTGCAAAGGAGAGGGAAGAGGGGAAGACCTGTCACCCTCTTCTCGGAAAGCAGCTGGGGGCCAGATGGGCTGGCCAGGCTCCCTGTCCCTTCCCTAACCTTGAGTAATGAGGGCCCCACAGGGGAGCTTTAGAAACCTAGAAGACTGGGATAGGATGCAGGGAACAGGCCAGTCGCAGGAAGCCCTGGGGGAGTCCCCATCAGAGGGAGGCTATGAGGGCAGTGCTGAGCCTGCAACAGGCAGGTGTGGCCTGCAGGCTGCATCTTTATGAACTGCCCTGTGGCTCTTTTCCTCTTTATGAATGGAGGAGGCCCTGGCCGCAGCTTGTTCTTACCCTGCAGGGATGGGGAGGGGGAGTGAGTACTTATTAAGGCAATTAAACCTTGGAAATATCCCAGGTGACCGGAGACAGCAATGAGAAGCCACATCCCAGACTACACACACTCTTCCACCTCATTGACCCTGAGCTTGGGGATGGCACTTGAAGTGGGTCTGCTGACCCCTCCAACTCACCCAGGATGGTCAGATTGTTCCTTGAGGTCAGGGTGAGGAAGAACCCAGGAGCTGGAGTCCTTAGCCCCGCCTCCTTTAGGTATCTGGACCCACGTGAGCAGTTGCCATGACGACTGCAGCACTGGCAGCACAGAAAGGAGGAGGGCAAGCGGGAAGCTGCTGTGGGAGGGGCTGCAGAGCAGGTGCTCTGGGAGGATGCGGGCTAGGGCACAAGGAGATGGCACCACTGCTGCCTTTTTATCCACGGGTGGGAGAGGAGATGAGTGCCTTGTGTAAGCTCACCCAGCACCAGTGTCTGGACTGCAGATCCAGGGCGTCCCCTGGCCTTCCAGGCGTTCCCCAAGACCTAGCAGGGGAGTGAGGACAGAGACCACTTCTGCCCTTCCCTTACGGTTGGGAGGCTCCTGGGCTTCTTCACGTCAGTGCCCAGCACACTGTTGGAATGTTTTCTTCCAAGGCTTGATGTGGTCCTGGCCAGGTCCTACTCCCCTCCTTGGGACCTCACCCCTGAGATGGCTGTGGACCAGGCTATGCTGCTGAGAGGAAGGCAGGGGCGGATGGTTCCTGGGGCAGGACCATAGCAGCCCCGAAGAGTCTGGGGTTCCCCAAAGCATGCACTGGCTTAGGGAGGTGACTTCTACCATCACTGGTGGCCCCTGATGCAGGCCGGAACAGGATGCTGAGGGTCTCCTGGCACTTCCCATTTGTTCCTACTCTCCACATCCCTCCCTGCCCAGGCTGCTTCTGCCCTTACAATCCTTTACCACCCTTCGACCTGCCCTTGACCTTCATCCTGCCTTTCTGTGCACACATGCTCCTCGCAGCCCTGACCCTGGGGGCTAAAGTGCAGGTTGCTGTGTGGAGCACAAGGAGAATTGGTCCTGTGGCGAATGGGTGAGCCGAGCTTGTAGCCCAACAGTCTGTTGCCGAGCCACCTCTGCAGTGTCCCCAGTCCAACCTGGGGGGTGGGGCAGAGGTTCTGTTTTCTGCCGAGTGCACCACCTCCTGCAGCCTTCCCAGGTCTCACACAGCCTTGGAATGGCTACACAGCCTTGTGTAGTTGAGCCACCCCTCCCACCCCCATAAAGCTGCAGTAAATCACTCTGCAGTGTCCCAGCTGGGTGGCTGTTGTGTTTACACACTCCTGGTAGCAGAGGGCTCACTACCTGAAATTTCTTGGAAAGCTCTTACTATTGGAAAGATTTTATTTTTCCTGTTGAGCCAAGACTCTTTGTGCCGGGGAGTGGCGCCTGTCAGTGCAGGTTTGCCATCTGGATCTGTATGGATCTGGCTGGCCTGCTTTTCACTCGATTTCAACTGCTCTCTGTACCCAGTCCTGCTATCTTTCCCTCCTTGCCACCTCCTTTTATTTTTTTCCTTCTTATCTTCTGGAATATGACCTAATGGGAGGAGGCTCAGGGTGGGGATAAAATTCTGACCTATTTAGCCTGATCCCTCCTGCCTCCTGGAGTGACTCCCTGCAGGGGGTTCTCCAGCACCTGGCTGTGTTTTCTCCTGGCTGCAGCCTCCTGTCTCTCGTGGAAGCCTAGCGCTAGCCAGCATGCAGGGGGAAATGGACACCACATGGTTCTCATTTGCGCTGGCTGACCTCCCCCACACACACCCTGTTTGGATTACTGCGATGCGTTTGATGTCCCCAGGGCCTCAGCCATGTGTCTTTCTCACACGCACAGGAAGGGCCGGTCCTTGAGGCAGGCACCACCTCCCACATTTCCCCCCACACCTCCCTCTGCTCTGGAAAACACAAAAACACTCCTGTCTGGCCAGCAGAGACTGGGGGGCAGAAATAAACCCCAGGGACTATTTTCATCTCTGGAGGAAGAGCTGTGTCAAGGATGTCCCTGGCCTGTTGTCCAGGTGGGGCACAGCAGTGTGCATCTATGTTGAGTAGGGTGAGCCAGGGA